CCTGCTTTACAACTCAAAACCCTTCATCATATTTACTCACTCTCTACTTCTTTGTTCCAGTAATCCATGATCTCATCCGCTTTGATTTCCTTCTGCATTGACTGTATCCCTTCCTCTCTGTCTCAACTTGATCTCTCCAAATCAACTGATGTTGACTATAAATATAGGTCTTCACATGACCCTGCCATCCCATCAAGGTATTTTCCCATATTTGTTACCTTTCCTTGACAAACTTGGCCCCTAATAAAAAAGGGACATCTACACTTATCTGCTTCCTTTTCCTCAGTATCCATTCTCAAACACTTGCTCTATGGCTTCTGATATCACCACTCTACTACTCAAACTGTCCTTTCTAAAGTTATCAGTGATCTCTTTACTACAAAATAAAATTAACTTTTCAGTCTATGTCCTCCTTGACCTTTCTCTAGTTGTTGATACTGTGACCACCCCTTTCCTCTTGGAAATTCTTTCTTCTTTTAAATAGCTATGTCTCCTCCTGTATGGTTTCTGTTCTAATCAATCATCTGCTGCCCATTTATCATAGGAGTCCTTCAAGGCAGATACTGGGCCTTCTCTCTTTAAACTTTCTCCTTTGGTATTCTCATATCCCATGGCCCCTACCCTCTAATAAAAGATGATCTCCAAATAAGAAATGTTTAGTCAGTCAGAGACTAATTTTGTTTGTTTGCTGTTGTTATTTAATCTTTGAAACACTAATATCTAATTCAGTGTATTTTACCAAGTAAACACTTAAAAAATATTTATTATATTGAATTAGCTCAATTATCATGACTATATATATCAAACTCCTAAATCAATATATCCAATCCTAGCTTACCTCTTGAGCTTTAGTCCCACATCCTCCTCTTCCCTCCTGGACATTTCTACCTAGATGTCCTCTTGGCATCTCAAACTCAACATGTCCAAAGTGAAAATGCAATTCAACAAATACTTATTAAGTGCCTGCTTTGTGCCAGGAACCATGCTTAGGCACTAGAGATAAAAATTCCCATCATCCTTTTCTTAAACTCTCTTCCCTCCAAAATTCTTCATTCCTGTTGAAGAACATCACTGTCCCCCCAGTGCCCTGGATTGTTTACATAAGAGTCATCCTGATTCAATTACCCAATTATCCAATTAACTGCCCAGTCTTGTTCATTTTACCTCCACAGCATTTCTGTGTCTACCCTGCTTTTTCTCCATTCACACAATCTCTAGCCTAGTTGAGAACTACTAAATTAGTCCAGGTCTCTTTGTTTCTTGACTCTCTTCTCCAATCCACCTTCCATACAGTTGTCAAAATAGTATCCCTATAGCATAAATCTCAACATGATCAAACACTAGCAACCTAAGATAAAAGAGACCCTGAAGCCCAGAATATGTCTCTCTACAAGGAAAGTGCAGACTTGAAAAAGCCATCAAATTTTGTAGTAAAGAGATCATTATTAACTTTAGAAAAAACAGCTTCAACAGTAGAGTGGTGGTATGAAATATCATATAGCAAGTGTTTGAGAATGGATAGTGAGGAAGTGGAGGCAGATAGTATGGATGAACCTTTTATTATGGACTAAGTTTGGCAAGGGACTAAGGGATTAAGTTCCCTTACTATTTGCAGTATACTTTCCAGGGATGTCCACATGGATGATAAGGTTGATGCACACATTGCCAGAGCTAGATCAGTGTGGGGGAGGATCTGAAGAAAATCTTGGGAGAGAAAAGGTATTAGACTGACTACCAAACTGAAAGTCTATAGAGCCATTGTGCTGAGCTCATTGTTGTATGCCAGTGAAACCTGGACATCATCACTGCTCCAAGCCAGGAAATTGAATCACTTCCATTTAAATTGTCTTACAAAGATTCTGAAGAACACATGGCAAGATAAGTTACCAGACACTGAGGACCTCTTTGGAGCTGAAATGCCAAGCATTCAAATTCTATTTCAGAGAGCACAAGTCTGATGGACTGGCCACATTGTTTGAATTCCAAACCTATGACTACCTGAAAGATTATTTTATGGAGAACTCACACAAGACAAGAGCTTTCTTGATGGTCTGAAGAAGGGATACAAAGACATTCCAGGTCTTTCTGAAGAACTTTGGAATCAATTGTGAGACACGGGAGATGGTACACAGCACTACTCAGCATGGCATACTTGCATCAAAGAAAATGCTGTGCTCTGTGAATGAAACAGAGTTGCAGTAGCTCAAAAGAAACGTAAGCTGCACAAATTTAGAGACACTTCCTTTCCAAATGTTTGTATGGATTATTTGTACACAGCCCATGGTAGAGACTTCTGAGCTCATATTGGTCTGATCAGCCACAGTCGAACATACCATGCCTTGACCCCAACATAGTGAGGTCATTTTGATCCTCTTTGAGCACCAAGGACAGCAACCAACCAACCAATCCCACTATCATCTATCTCTGTCTGTTAATCTATAATCCATCTACTACACACTGGAGAGGGGAAGGGAAAGAAAACCAGGGAGGGGGAATGTTCCAAGAGGACCAGCACCTTTAGTGTGAGGGCCTGCTGAACCCTTTTCAGGGCTGTTCATCTACCTTTGTCGTCCATCTGATTCACTCAACTCTCACCTATGGCTCCAAGAAGTGGTAGCATATGCAGTGCCCACACCCAGGCAAACCATCTCAGCAGATGAGCTAAACTAGATTGAGGGTAATCAACAGGCCTCAAACTCATCCGTGAGTCACAGGGATGTCTACCCCAAGCATGTGAAGACTTCCCCTGGAGAAATGGGCAGTTGTGAACAATTTCTTCCAGTGGCCACGAAGGCAGCTAAACAGGTGCTGTGGAGCATTTAGAGCTTGGTCAGACATCAAAGATACCAAGGTCACCTACTAGACCATCACCAGTCATCTTGATTTTTGTCCTGCCACTGGAGTTTGATGACTCTTGGAGACAGAGTGAGGTTAACAACTTCATGCAACTCTGTTTCACTTAAATCTAATTCATCCACGAGTCAAGACATCATCTGTGATGTCATTTGTTCTCTTCAAAAAACAAAAACAACTACATATTCCTATGTAGAATGTAAGTTCCTCGAAGGTAGGACTATTTTACTCTGGTCCTTGTATTCTTCACACCTTGCATTGTGCCTGACACATAGTAAGCACTCTCTCCTTGTTATCTACCTAACCTACCCCAGAATCTCTGCTGGCTTCAAATTTTGCATATCCAACTGCCTTTCAGATCTCTCAAAGTGATATCCAGTGTACATCTTAAACTCAACATATCCAAAGCTGAAATCTTTATGTGTCCTCATACACTTACCCACTCTTACCTTCCTCCCTATTTCTCAGGCTCCTGGACTCCCCACTATTTTTCAGTCCCCATATCCAATATTCTGCTAACACCTGCTGATTTCACCTTGACAACATCTCTCAGATATGACTCCTTGTCTCTTCTGACCCTGACACAGTTCTGATGCAAGCCCTCATCGCAATGCCTGGACTGTTGTAATAGCCTGCTGGTGGATCTGCTTTCTCAATTCTCTCCCTACTCTAATCCGTCCTATAGCCACTAACATTATTTTCCTGAAGTACAGGTGCAATCATATCACCCTCTACTCAATAATCTACAGTGGCTCTCTATTGACTCCAGGATCAAATACAAAATATTATGTTTTGCATTCAGAGCCCTTCATAACCTAATCCCCTCCTAATTTCCAGTCTTCTTACACTTTACTCCCTAGCGCTCATTCTTCTATCCAGCAATATTGAACTCCTTGATATTCCACAAATAAGACACACAATCTCTCCAGTCCAGACATTTTCTCTGGGTGTTCCTCACATATGAAATGTTCTCCCTCCTTTGCTCTGACTACTGACTTTCCTGACTTCCTTAAATTCCAAATAAAATCCCTTCTTTTCCTGAAAGCTTTCCCCAACTCTTCTTAATTCTAGTGCCTCCCCCTCCATAAGTTATTTCCTATTTATCCCATATATAGCTAACTTTGTATATATTTGTTTGCATGTACTATCCCCCCCCCCATTAGATTGTGAGCTCCTGGAGAGTAGAGACTATTTTTTGTCTCTTTTGGTATCCTTAGTACTTAGCACAGTTCTTAGCACCTAGTAGGAGCTTAATAAATGTTTGTTGATTGATTGATTGATTGATTGAATAAATGTTTGTTAATTGATTGATTAGAAGTGATGGTGATATATAAATTTATGGCATTACTGGTTCCCCCCCCCCACCATACAAGCCACTTCTTTACATTAGTAAAGAATACAGTTGGAGAAAACCATAAAAGACACCATAAAAAAATGAAGCTTTGGGGAGGAAAGTTGAATATGGAAAAAAAAATGCTTACTCCTTCTGACATATCTTACATATAGATCCAAGCCACTCTGTCCCTGAATTTTCCACTCCTACATTCGGTTTCCCCACTTGTTTCAGCCTCTGGGATTTTAGCACTCCAGAGAAACCTTGGATACAACTCAGCTTGCTCACCTTCCAATTAAGACTTTACCCTGTCCCCATGAAAAGGGAAAATGTCTTTGCCCTCACCCTGTGTTTACCTAATCTCTAGCATGTGACACATTTACAACAGGAAAGAACAGTCTGTCTATGCTCTCTGTGCTAGTCTCTATGACTAGCAAATGAGACATCTGGAAAATAATTTTTTTTTACTCATCTGTTATCTCCTTTAACTGAGATTCCTAAAGTCCAAACCCCATCATTCTCATTTTATATGTTTAAAAATTATTCTCAGGATGATGTTCTCAATCCCTTTTCTTCCATTGAACAATAATTACCTCACTCCTCTCAGATTTTTCCTTCAAAAAAATTTTCAATGTCTTAAATTAGTATAATTAAATTATGCTAATCCATAAGCCTCTTAAATACATAGGGGCTCCGAAATCTATAAAAAGCCTTTTCTCAACTCCCCATCAAAATATCCCATGGTGACTCCCTGCCCCCCCAGAGTACCTGCTATTTCTTGAATATGAATTCTATTTACCTTTTTAATCCTCACCTTAGTCAGATGCTTATTCAATTCTTTATGTTTTTCTCTGAGTTCCTGGAAGTGTTGAGTAAGATTCTGAGGAAAAAAATCACTTCTTAAATATTTGGTTTGAAAACCTAACAACAGGAAAGATAAAAAGTGTTGTTTGCAAAATAGCTTTCTTTTATTTAAAAAAATAATTTTCAATGATGGCCACCTCAGGTTGTCCTGTTTCTTGTAATATGACTCCTTTCCCGATGTGAGGTAGCCTGTGATACAGAATCTGTTCTGAGTGTGGGTGAGATGAATAATTTTCTGTGAAATAAACTGAATCATTTGGGGGCATAATAATATTGCGTATTTAAAAGCATGGTACCCACACAAAATTTTTCCTTTTAAAATGTGTTCCCTACCAAAAAGTATGCATATCATGCATGAAAAGCAGGACCTTTTTATTTTTTTTTTAAATTGAGCAGTTGGGGTTAAATGACTTGCCCATGGTCACACAGCTAGTAAGTGTCAAGTGTTTGGTCTGAGGTCACATTTGAACTCAGGTCCTCCTGACTTCAGGGCCAGTGTTTTATCCACTGAGCCACATAGCTGCCATAAGGAGGACCTTTTTGAAAGGACCTTTGGTCCTTTCATATTTGTTCCAGGTTTTATTCTCTGTGTGTGTGTGTGTGTGTGTCTGTGTGTGTGTGTGTGTGTGTGTGCTTAATCTGATAATGATGGGGTCGGGATCTGGACCCTAGAAAGGAGAAACCCTGGACTTTCCCACAAAGCCAAATCTCTAGCTTTCACCCAAGGCTATAATCCCATCAACTGGTTTTTCATTGTGGCTACACTCAATCTCCCAATTCTCTGTTACCCAACCCTCTGTTAGCCTAGTCCTCCATTGTCTTACCTCCCTATGGCCCCCGGCCACTGGTCACTTCCGCACCCTGACTGCTAACTGGGCTACATTCTCCCTAGGCCAGGTGGTCCAAGTCCCTGGCACCCTATCACTGTCCCTGAAAACCTACTTGGCCATTCCTAGATCGCTCCCACAGTCTTTCTGTATGTAAGGTTCATCTTGCCTCCATTAAGGTGCTCAGGTTCTTAAAATCTAGCCACTGCTCAGATTCCTTAAGAGTCTGCCCAATATGATGAATGCTCTAATAAACCTTGTCTTTGGCTGAATAAAGGCTTGGGTCGAATTCTTTTGGGTGCTTGTTGTGATTTGGGGGTCCCAGCATCCCTAAACTCCTAAACCTCAATACTATCCCTGAAAATAGTCACTTGCCTAAGACAAATAACAAAGAAGCCAAGTGACTGAAGAGTAATTTCAATAAGACTTATACATGTCCCATTCAATAAGACTTATACATGTCCCATTAGAGAATGCAGGACACAGCTAGAGAACTAATAATCCTGGAGTCTGAAAGACCCGAGTTGCAGTCCCACCTCAGCACATGTATATCAATTCCCATATTGTTATATTATTTTCTTAAGATTTTTCTCCTCAAAATTAATCTGAAAAGAGCAGGTTTTTTTACAGAAGATCTGCATGTTTTTTCCAAGTATTGCCATCCAAAGTACATCTTATGTTAAAACTCCACACACAAAGTTACTTCAGAGACCATCCCTATTGTGGACATTCAGATCCTAACAGCACAGACAGGCAACTGATAAACTGTAAGGGCCAAATGTGTTAGACAGAGGGCTAAACTGCTGGATCTACTTCCCCTTCTGCTGAGCTTGAAAGACATTCCCAAAATATTCATTTATCCTGGCTGGAGGCTTGTATGTGTGTGCAGGTGCATATGTGCGCACATGAGTGTGTGTGCACACCCATGCCTTCTACTTTTTCTTCTCTCTCTGTATTTGATCTTTCCTCAATATAAATATTTCCTCCAATAATTCAATTTGAAACTCATTCATGCCTGCCTGTCCTGGGGGACTTGCCACTCTTGTCCATGCCCTCCCATAAATGTGCCGCAGGGGTTTCACCCAAAATGTCTGCTTGATATCAGTGATCCTTTTTCCTTCCAAGATTTTCTTTCCCAAACTCTCAAGCTGATGGGGTTGGGATCTGGACCCCAGAAAGGAAAAACCCTGGACTTTCTCCCATGGCCAAATCTCTGGATTTCACCTGAGGCTATAACCCTATCAACTGGATTTTCCTTATGCAGATGCTCAATCTCCCAATTCTCTGTTACCCTCAACCTAGCCTAGCCCTCCATTGTCTCACATCCTTATGGCTCCAGGCCACTTCCCACCCTTAATCCTATGAAGACTGATTCTCCCTTGGATCCCTAGATCTCTCCCACAGTCTTTCCATATATAAGGTCCATCTTGTCTCCATTAAGGTGCTCAGATTCCTTAAGAACCTAGCCAATAACTCACAAATATTCAGATTCTTTAAGAGTCTGGCCAATATGGCAGATCTTTAATAAACCTTGATTCTGGCTGAAAGAAGGTTTGGGTGGAATTCATTCAGACAGGACCCATGTGTCATGATTTTGGGGTTCTGAAACTCCTAAACCTCTAGACCTCATCAAAGCCATCCTCAGATTATCCCAATAGAATAATTGCTCTAAATACTCTTTCAACCAATACCAATCACCTGTGTAGGTGGCCATCTATTATATTGGATTAGAATCATGGTGTGATACAGTGGAATCATAGAACCAGGGTTTGAATTCCAGTTCTGCCATTTACTACACATGTGACCTTGAGCAAGGCATTTTACTTCCTATGGGCAGTTTTCTCTTCTATTCAATAAAGAATTTGAATATATCAATCCACAAGTATTTATTAAGCACCTATGTGCTGAATACTAGGGAGGCAAATACAATGAATAAAATAGTCTCTGCACACAAAAAGTTTGTGGGACTTGTAAAGCCACTACAAAGTTTGAAGTTTTAAATCTAAGATCCTATGGTAAATTATAAAGTGTAGATCTTGGACTAGGAAGGATAAGCCTCTCAGAATTTGATCTAAGAAAGACAAATGAAATTAATTTGTGTCCATATTTTTAATTTTTCTCAAGCTGGTGACATGCATGCATTTCATAGATGTTGCATTCCACAACTGGGCCCACCTAAGGGATCCAATCCAAAACTGGCTCAATTTGGGTGGGGGTACAGTTATATGCCCTTTGAAGAGTAGATATTCCCAAGGGGTGCTAAGCAACACTGATTTGTCAACACACTGGGATGTGGTCTATTTAAAATGAGGGGCTTGGGGGTACACATTTAGGTCACTTAGTCTTGGTCATAGAAGCATCAATTTTTATATCACCTATTTTGACAATAGGAAGGAATCAACATTTTCCCAGACCAGTCTGGGCAATACAATGAGCAGGAAATACACCCATTAGATTAGATCTCAGTGCCCTTCAGAAGAAGAAACTGAACTTTGGAAGAAAGGGGGATGAAGGGAAGTTCTGAGTCTCCAAGATAATGATTACTAAGAAAAATCATTTTTCACGGAAAGGACTATAGGAGATTCGATCATCTTGTGCATAATATGAAGATGTCTTGAATTCCTCCCAAATACAATCTCGAGAGATTTGTCTTACCAGCCTGAGATACCTACCCTTGATGTTCAATTTTAAGTCTTGTCTACACAATAAAATGTTAATATATTCTACAAGAAGATTAACACATTAATGCATTAAGAGCAATGAATGCCTTATTAATGTGTCAGGAGGATGAATGGGTAGGTGGAGGCAGTCTTTCTAACACTGCCTCCCCGCTATTCCCAACGCCCCCCAACAAAGACCTTTCTCAGACCCTTCTCTTTGGCTCAGTCACCTGACTTCCTGCTTTTTCCTCCTTCCCAAAGACCCTTCTCAGTTCAATGCTCTATTTTAGGTTAAGGTATTATCTACACAGTCAAATATTAATAAATTCCACAAGAGTAATAACACATTACCATATTAATAGCAATGAATGCCTTATTAATGTGTCAGGAGGATAAATGGGTAGGTGGGGGGCTGTCTATTTAGCACTATGTTCTTGCTACCACCCCCCAAAGACCTTCTGAGACCTTTCTCTTTGATTCAGTCTCCATTCCCACTCAGAATAAATCCCTGGAAAACAACAACCCATGTTACCACTAATTATATCATGTCGTAGCATAGTGAAAATGAGAAATTTTACTTAAAATAGCAAGCATTGCTATTTTTTGTTTTAGAATCACTTCTCTTCAAGTATTGCCAATACCTTTGTCCCAAACAAATCCCCTTTCTTCCTCCTTGCCGTCAGGGATGAAAGGCTCTGAGCTCAAGCTGGCCCAAAACACAAGGTTACTCGAGGGAAGATGCAAATATTGGGAAAACAACTTGCCCATTGCCACAGTAACACTACATCTTCAAGATATGAAAACCACTCCTGCTCTCCAGAGGGACATGAACAGAAGGTCTGGAAGGGCATGAACTTCATTCAGTCTGCAAAGAAGGCAATCAGAAGGAGTGTTGAAATCTCTTGGCACTACATTAGTGATGTAACATCAGATCTCAAGAAAAGGGGGGAAAATATCTCCATGTCCAGAGAACTCCCCACTTCTCTCTTCTCAGTGTACTTTTTGACATCTTGGCATATCTGTCTCTTGACCTGAGCTTATCCAGAGTCAAGGACTATATCATCACTTGCTATGCCTGGAAAGACTTAGGACCTTTGTTTAATGCAATGACCATTTTATGACTATGATAACTCATAATGAGGAATGGTATCCACTCAGAGGTGTTCTAGTAAATGTTTAAAAATCAGGGCTCTGAAAAAAATGTACATCTTATTTTTCATTTTAATTTCTATGATTAACATTTTTCTCCATCATTTTCCTACATCTAGACAATCAACAGAACAGTAAATCAAGCCCCAATTCATAGCAATTGCAAATTTCCAAGACGTAAATGCTTACACTGAAAATTTAACAATAGGCTGTCATGGACCAATACAAGCTGGCTCTAACACAAATAGATTAAGTATACAAAGTGATATACATTTTTAGACATGACTAATGGAGGAATTTTATTGCTTGATATGTATTTATTATAAAGGGTTTTTTTCTTTTTTAAAAGTTAGGGAGAGGGTATAGGAGATGAAGAGAATGAGAAAAATGCTTGTTAAATAAAAATTATTTTTAAAAAACAAATAGCCCAGGTTGGGGGGTGGGAGATGGTATTGTTTGTTTCTAAAGTAAAAAGAAGGCTCTAAGGAGAAGAAATACAGAACAAATTTTGATGATTAGAAGTTACATTAGTTTGTGTATATGGTAGGCTATGAAAAGGCATTACACAAAGATGAAGAGATTATATACACATCTTGGAAATTAGTACATGCATGGAGTGAATCAATATGCTTGGCTATTGCAAATTTGCCACTGAGCTAAATTTGAACCCATTCTCCCCGTAGAATTTGTCCCCAAGGTGTTAGGAGGGAAACTGTGTCCTTTTGTTATTACTATATCTTTGAAGGGCAGGTAGGTGGTGCAGTGGATAAAGCACTGCCCCTAGTGTCAGGAGGACCTGAATTCATCTAGCATCAGGCGCTTATTGGCTGTGTGACCCTGGGCAAGTCACTTAATCTTGTTTGCCTCAGTTCTCCTCTGTAAAATGAGCTAGAGAAATAAATGGAAAACCACTCCAGTATCTTTGCCAAGAAAACCCCAAATGGGGTCAAGAAGGGTCAGATACAATCGAAATAACAACAACAAAGTTCATTAACTTGACTTCTAGGTCACATGACTAATATGGAAGCCTAAAACCTTTTATCCTAGCCTCACAATCTCTTGAAACTCTCCAACATGATAATTATATACAAGAAATAAAATATTTGTGGCTGTCTCAACATTTGAAGACACCAACAATCTTAACAAGGTAACAACTTGATAAATTAGCAGAGACAGTTAATCCTTATTACCTACCTTTCTCAATTAGCACACTTTTTTGTGTTTTAACCAGTGTGAGATCCTTGCCTGTTGTAGTAAGAAGGCCAAGTTTGCATGAAGCAGACAATGTTTATGGTATCTTTTCTAGCCCCTTCCTCACACCAGGAGGTGAGCAGTGTGGTCATCAAAAAGCTGCTCAGGACTTCTGGTGCCCAGATGGCAGAGTGAGGAAGGAATCCTCTGAAACCCTCCCAAATTTCCCTCCAAACAACTAGAAACCCCCTCAGGTCTAGGAGCAGGGAAGCAGCTTACCAGCCCAGCAGAAAAGCTCTATCTCACTGGGATTGGAGGGGAGCAAGGTCCAAGAACAGCAGCAGCATCAGCAGCAGCCAGCCTTACAATCAGGGGGCCTGTTGCAAGGCTCCAAGCCCGGGGCAAGCCCCCAACAAGGCCCCACCCTCTGGTAAACCAGCGGTCCCCGAGGCAAGTGAGGCCTCTGTGCTGAGTAGCAAGGGCCCACCCCAGCAACACCCCCCCCCAGCACAAGCCACCAAAAGGCCTTGACCCCATTGCTGACCAGTAGTGAAACCTCTTTGGGGCTGACCATAGCAAGACACCACCCCTGGGGCCTGCCAGCAGAGAGACCCTGTTCCCATAGCAACCCAGCAGCAGGACCCCACCCCTGAGGCAGATCAGCAACAAGATCCCTCCTCTGAGGCCAGCCACCAGAAAGACTGTTGCCATAGCAACCCAGCAGCAAGTCCCCACCTCTGGAGTAAGCCAGCACCCAGGAGAGGCCAACCTGAAGGCCCAATACAAGCCAGAGGAGAACCCTGCCCTCCAGGGAAAGCAAGTAGCTAAGCCCTGAAGCCCAGTGAAAGTCAGCAGTAAGATTCCCAGCCATAGCACAAAAATCTTGGGCCAGTGCAAGAAGAAAGCACATCTTTCACATAAAAACACCAAGCCACCAAAAAAAGGCAGAAAAAAATAAGCAAAAAAAAATTGAGCTTAACTTCATAAAGTTACTATGGTGGTAGGAAGAATCAAGGCATAAACTTAGAAGAGGATGATAGTGTGAAAATGGCTATGTGTGAAACCTCAAAGAAAAATGTAATTTGGTGTCAGGCCCAAAAAGAATTCCTGGAAGAATTTTAAAAGGATTTTAAAAAGTAAATTAAAGAAGTACAAGGGGAAAAAAAGTACAAGAGAAAAGAAATGAGAGTAATCCAAGAGAATCATAAGAAAGAATCAATAACATAGGAGAAGATAAACAAAAATTTACTGAGGAAAATAACTCCCTAGAAAATAGAAGTGGCCAAATGGAAAAGGAAGTATGAAAGCTCACTGAAGAAAATAATTCCTTAAAAATTAGAATTGCACAAGTGAAAAATAATGACTCTATGGGACATCAAGATATGGCAAAATAAAATTTTAAAAAGTAAAAAAGAATAGAAGAAAATGGGAAATTTCTCATTGGAAAAACAACTGACCTAGAAAATAGAACCAGGAGAGATAATATAAGGATTATCAGAGTATCTGAAAGCCATGATTAAAAAAAAGGTTTTTTTAAAGCCTGGACAACATATTTCAGAGAATTATCAAAGAAAACTGTTATACATTAGATACATTAGAACCAGAGGGTAAAGTAGAAGCTGAAAGAATTCACCAATCACCACCTAAAAGAGATTCCCAAAATGAAAACTACCAGGAACATCATAGCCAAATTCCACAGCTCGCAGATCAAGGAAAAAGTATTGCAAGCAGCCAAAAAGAAATAATTCAGATATCATGGAGCTACAGTCAGGATTACACAGGAATTGGCAGCTTCTACGTTAAAGAACAGGAGGGCTTGCAATATGATGCATAGGAAGAAAAAGGAGTTAGGATTACAACCAAGAATCACCCAGCCAGCAAACTTCAATATAATTTTTCAGGGGAAAATATGGATATTTAACAAAATAGAGGACTTTCAAGCATTTCTAATTAAAAGACCAGGGCTGAATAAAAAATTTGACCTCCAAACACAAGACTCAAGGGAAACATAAAAAGATAAAAAAGAAACAAGAAAGAGAAAACATAAGAAATTTAATAAGGCTAAGCTATTTATATTTTTATATGGCAAGATAATATTTATAACTCTTAGCTTTATTACTATAAGAGCAATTAGAAGGAGCATATGTAAAGAGAAGGTGTGTATATAAGGTGACTTTAATAGGATGATACCCAAAAAATAAAAAAAATAAAGGGATGAGAAAGGATATTGTACTGGAAGAAGGAGGGGTGAGATTGAATGAGATAAATTATCCCAAATAAGATGCAAGAAAGAGCTATTATAATGGAAGGGAAGATGGGGGCTGGAGTGGCAGGCAAAGCTTAAACCTTACTCTCATAAAAATTCACTCAAAGAAGGAATGACATACCCAGTCAGTTGGATATAGAAATCTATCTTACCCTGTAAGGAAGTAAAACAGAACAGGGATAATAGAAAGGGGAAAGGGGTCTGATAAAAGAGAGGGTATATTAGGGAAGGCAATGATCAGAAGTAAAACACTTGTGAGGAGGGAAAAGATATCAAAGGAATCAATGAAAAAAAATGTGAAAGAAGGTGGCCTAGCCACACTAGATCTCAAACTGTATTATAAAGCAGTAATAATCAAAACAATCTGGTGATGGCTAAGAAACAGCGTGGCAGATCAGTAGAAGAGATTAGGTACAAATTATATCATAGTAAATGACCATAATAATCTAGTAAATGATAAACCCAAAGATCCGAGCTTTTGGAACAAAAAACTCATTATTTGACAAAAACTGCTGAGAAAACTGGAAAACAGTATGACAGAAATTAGGTATAGACTAACATCTCACACCTTATACCAAGATAGAATCAAAACAGGTACATGATTTACATATAAAGGGTGATAACTATAAACAAATTAAGAGAGTATGGAATAGTTTATTTGTCAGATTTGTAGATAAGGGAAGAATTTAGGATCAAAGAATATATAGAGAGCATTACAAAATATAAAAGAGATAATTTTGATTACATAAAATTTTAAAGTTTTACACAAACAAAACCAACACAACCAAAATTATAAGGAAAGAGGAAAACTGAGGGGGAAATGTTTCAAGTATCTCTGATAAAGGCCTCATCTCTTAAATGTATAGAGAACTGAGTCAAATTTATGAAAATACAATTCTTTCCCCAATTGATAAATGGTCAAAGGATATGAACAGATAGTTTTCAGACAAAGTCAAAGCTCTCTATAGTCATATGAAAAAATGCTCTGAACTGCTACTGGTCAGAGAAATGCAAATTAAAACCACTCTGAGGTACCACCTCATACCTATCAGAGTGGCTAATATGACAAAAAACCGAAAATGTTGGGTGTTGGAAGAGATGTGGGAAAATTGGAACACTAATGCATTGTTGCTTGAGTTGTGTATTAATCCAACCATTCTGGAGAGCAATTTGGAACTATGCCAAAAGGGCTATAAAACTGTGCATACCATTTGATCTGGCAGTACTACTGCTAGGTCTACATTCCAGAGGCATAAGAAAAAGAAAGAAAGAAAGAAAGAAAGAAAGAAAGAAAGAAAGAAAGAAAGAAAGAAAGAAAGAAAGAAAGAAAGAAAGAAAGAAAGAAAGAAAGAAGGAAAGAAAGAAGAAAGAAGAAGGAAAGAAAGAAAAAGGAAGAGAAGGAAAGAAGGAAGGAAAGAAAGAAAGAAAGAAGAAAGAAAGAAGAAAGAAAGAAAAAAAAAGAAAGAAAGAAAAAAGAAAGAAGAAGGAAGGAAGGAAGGAAGGAAGGAAGGAAGGAAGGAAGGAAGAAAGAAAGAAAGAAAGAAAGAAAGAAAGAAAGAAAGAAAGAAAGAAAGAAAGAAAGAAAGAAAGAAAGAAAGAACGCACTTATTTCTCCAAAAATATTTATAGCAGCTCTTTTTGTCATGGCTAAGAATTAGAAATCAAAGGAATGTCCATCATTGAGGAATGGCTAAACAAGCTGTGGTATATGATTGTGATGGAATATTATTGTGCAATAAGAAATGACAAGCAAGATGACTTCAGAAAAACCTGGAAAGACTTACATGAACTAATGCATAGTGAAGTGAACAAAACCAGTAAAACATTGTACATAGTAGCAGCAATATTGACCGATGAAAAACTGTGAGTGACTTAACTATTCTCATCAATACAATGATCCAAGACAATCCCACAGGACTAATGATGAAACATACTATCCACCTCCAGAGAAAGAACTGATATTGATTGAAAACAGACTGAAACATACAATTTTTCATTTTTTTCTTTTATTCAAGTCTTATACAAAATGACAAATATGTAAATGTTTTACATAATTGCACATGTGTAAATCATATTTGATTGCTTACCATCTCAGGGAAGGGAAGGGTAAAAGAAGGGGAGGGAGGAAAGGAAGTATAGAATTTGAAACACAAAACTTTAAATAAAAATTTAAAAATTGGAAGAAGGGGGAAAGCTGCTCAGACATCCAAGAGGCTGCCAAATCCCACTGCTGCTTCCAGGGACAAGATGACTCTATGAGCTGGGCTACCTGTCTGCCAGGTTGTAACTACAGCTCCCAATGTATCTGCACCTGCTGCTTTGTCACCTTCTGTCACCACAGGACTTTGAGGTAGAAAATAATGGTAAAATGGTATGGGTGATATCTTTTGATTCATACATAAATTGGATTTAAGTAAGTCAGAGTTGAATGATGTCATTGGCCTCACTCTATCTTCCAGAGTCAGCAAATCCAATGGCAGGACAAAGTCAAGAGAATTAGTGATGTCTCAGGATGCAGTGAATGACCTTGGCATCTTTGTTGTCTGACCAAGCTCTAAGCACTCTGCAGTGCCTGCTTCAGCTGTCTTCACGACCAGTGGAACCAGTTGCTCTCATCAGCCGATTCTACTAAGGGAAGTCTTCACATGCTTGGAGTAGATGCCCCTCTAACTAACCAAAGGATTTGATATTCTTCAGTTACCTTCAACCTGGTTTAGCCCCTCGGTTGTAATGGTTTACTGGAGTGTGGCTAATGTCCTTCTAGAGCTTCTTGGAACCACAAATGAGAGTTGGATGGATCAGGTGGACTCCAAAGGTGGAAAGCAACCCTGAAAAGACTTAGCAGCCCTTACACCAGAGGTTCTAGTATTCCCTAAATATACCCTATGCCCTCCCCCCACAAAAAAAACAACATGATCCTTCCACAAGAAGTACTATACATAAAAAAGAAAAAAAGAAAAGAAGCATTTATTGATCACCTGCCATGTGCACAACACAGTGTTAACCACTTTACAAATTATCTGGTCTTCCCAACAACTCTGGGAGGTAGGTACTATCATTATCCCCATTTTATAATTGAGGAAACTGAGGTGAAGTGATTGTCCAGTGACACAGAGCTCTCAAGTGTTTGAGGCCAGATTTAAATTCACATCTTCCTAATTCTAAGCCTAGTATTCTGTCCACTCTGCCACCTA